GACCTACCTCAACTGAATGTACCAGGCTCTGCTGACTCCCTGTGGGAGCCCTTACCTTGTTGGAGGAGGGAATGGGGGGTGGGCTGAGGGGAGTAGGATGGGGGGCAGGGGGAGGGAAGAGAGGGCCACTATCCATACAGTTTCCCCAAGCTAGGAACCCAGAGTCACCATTGGCTCCTTCTCACTCTCACTTCCTACTTCCAATTAGTCTCCATACCTAGTGAGTCTCCTGCCTTATCTTCTTCAGCCCCTGCCCTTCTGCCCGACCCCTGCTGTCCATCTTGATTGAAGGCCCTCATGGCTTTTCTGTACTGGTTTTCTCACTGATTACTTTCCCTTCAGAACCAATGTCCTACCTTGGTCTCAAGGTGTTCATTCTATAATCCAAGTCTTTGCAAGGTTTCTGGAATTGAGTTTGGGAGCACTGAGGACATGTCCAGGCCTCCCTTCCATCCTTCTCCTGCCTCCATGCTTGATACTCCATACTTAGACCCCAGAGGCACGGAGTCTCTCTTGCGAGCAGGCTTTGGTAGAGATGTCACTCCTTTTGGAACTGTCCTTTTCTCAGGCTTCCTTACCTAGTTAGTGACTGGCCCTCACGGACTGCATTCTTGACTGGTGGCTCTTAGGCAAACAGGCCTGTGTGTGAATGCTGCCTTGGTCATTTGCTTGGCTTCCTAGATCTTAATTTTTTTTAATTCATTAGTAGGAGAAAATGATAGCAATCTTATGATACTGTTAGGCACTAAAATGGTAACTATAAGGACCTGGTGGTTTAAAGTACAACACTATGAGACTTGAAGATACAGAGAGGAAAATGCCAGGTTGTTTAAAGTACAACACTATGAGACTTGAAGATACAGAGAGGAAAATGCATTTTACAGGTAAGATTTTCTTAAATGAAAAGGAAAGTGCTTAAATGATTGTTTTGTTTCTCATTTAAAGATAATCCCCATTTCACCAAAACACACCGTAGACATAAGGAAACCAGCTGCCCTGTATTGCTCAGGACCAAAGTGGTTCCTGGGATATTGGATTTTCAGTTTGAAAATCAGGAAAATGTTTACCAAGGAAGAACAAATAAGTCACCTCACATGACACACACCCTCTATCAAGTCAAAGAGCCAAATTATTTCCTTTTGCAGCTGATAAACCAGACATCAAGAAATATTACTAAGTTTAAAATAATAGGGGTAACCTTGCAAACAAAAACCACATTTACATATATTATAAATATCCATATAAAGCACATGTATATATATCTTGAAAGAAATACAAAGAGAGTGGTAAGGGATTACTTATGCGGAACTACTACATTTAACAAATGACTAGATGACAGGTGTCCTGTTTAAAATGTTAGCTCTGCACACCACTTCATTAGACATTTGCTTCTGTTGCTCTATGGTGCTCAGATACACAACTGCAGACTTTAAAATCAACACCTCTACAGGCCCTCAAGTGCTAGAGTTGCTATCAATCAACAGAAAACTAAACTTCCCTTTGTAGCGAGAAGCAGCTGCCTGCCATGGTGTGAGGAAAATATCAGCAAAGCCAAGAGCCTGCAGCTGTTTGCTTAGTAGTTATGGACACTACGAAACAGCAACGATCCTTCTTACATTATGCTCATTTGTAAAAGCACTGTGATGGGGAGAGATGCAGCATACCACCTAAATTATATACCAGGCCATCTTCCTGCCACCCATTCTATACCTGCATCCCACCCTGCCATTAGGCTGCTCTTCAATCCCTTGGAAAGCATGAAGGAGAACTGCTACTTCAAAGTCGCAGGTTTTGTGTCTGTAGAGACAGAGATCTTACATCATCTTGGAGACAGGATGTAATTTCATTTGAGAAAAATCACCACCAGAGACCCTTTCGTAACATATAAGATGAAGGAAATATTCTCTTGTACATTCCAGTGAAGTAGAAGGGGAGTTGGGGCTATTACTAAACCAAATATGAATGTTCTAGTCTGTTCAGTGACACAAGATGTGCAAGACAAATAGGAGGTCTTTGCCACAGTCCACTCAGGTCCTTGTGGAAGTGTAAGACAAATCAACAATAATCTCGTGTGACTCAGGAATACCTCAGGCCTCCCTTGCTTAATTAATTCTCTAGGTACCAGCTTTCCTTGTGCTGGTTGGTGTCTGGATAAAGGTTATGGAGGCGTGACAAAGCTATGAAAAATCCAGAGCAACTAGAACTTTAGTGATGGGAGGTCATTTCCAGGAAACATGAATTACTGGTGCTAGGTGGTTGCTCTGGGTGAGATTGTGTCTTTTGGGTCCTATCCTTGAAGTTAACAGGCAGTTCTCTGTTAAAAAATATTCTAAGTGTGGTTAATGGACTTTTGGCCCATCATCAACCTGAGGTCCATCATCAACCTGAGGTAAGTTCACTGTGTGATAAGTTTCTCAAACTTATAGGACTTCAATGATGACTGACTAGTCAAAACAATGATAACTATTAACAAAGGTAAAACCCAAGACAGAATTTCAATAGCAACAGTGTTATTTCATGCTAAATGGACTTCCCCGTCACGGTGAGTGAAATTTCTCTTGGGACATTCCATTATCTCAGGAAAGCCCCTCCTCCTCCCTCTAGCCCCATCCAGGCTGTGTTTGTGCCTTCATTTCCAATTCAATTTTGGTTTCATATAGAGTAAATAATTTTTATAAATGAGCAAAACAAAGCTCAAGCCCTTCTTTTGGGAGGAGTTCCAAAAATTATATCAGTAGACAAGTGCAAGGTAGCTAAGGCAGCCAGAACCACTTCGCAGAACCACCCTGAGCCAAGGCACCCTTTGCTGTCTGTACTTCTGGGCTAGCCTCTGGCCTCTCTGGACATGTGAAGAAGCAGAAGTGAGCCTCAGAGAGGTGGCTGCCTGTGCAGATACAGTATGTTCCAATGGATGGAGTCCTCTGACCAGGAACACTTAGAGAGTATCCCACTCTCCTTCACAATGCAGTGTCTATGGTCAGTTTGAATAGGGTTTGATGAAGGTCTGAAGACTGTGCCTAGTGTACTAAAGAGAGGCAGAGTTGATAAGCCTCCTGGTTGTGTCTCCACTCCAAGTGAGCTGGAGTGGTAGCAGATGGGGGGGCGGGTAGTAAAGCAAGGTTCAAGTTGGATCTTATGTCAGTTCTGTCCTGCCAAATACCAAGATAAAGTCAAATATTCTACAGGGGCTAAGAAGACGTCAGTGGTTCAGATATTGCTAGTTGTTTGGGCATAGTTACCAGCCATAAAATGGTTTTGTTTACACATTATACATTTTAAAAGAAACAAGTTCATTGTTGCAGAACCCTTCTGGGCAGGCATAGAGAAGGACTTGGGTCAAACCATTCCCTGCAGGGAAAATAACCACAAACAATATCTAAGATGGAAGCGACTAGGCCAAAGTTTCTCATCCAAAGCTCAGACGACAGACTATCAAGGAGTGGAACTCCAGAAAACCGTGGGATCTGACACATCAGCAGTGCACCAAAGAGTGGAGCCCAGCACTGTAGGACGGCACCCTTGCAGAATTAGCAATCTCCTCCCCAGTCGGCCCCCTCCTCTTCTCTCTCCCCTACCTTTCTACTGCCTCCCCCTACTCTCCTTCTCCATGCTAACTCACCCCCCTTTCTCTGCTAGAGTCACATTGTATCTGTCTTTTTAGAATGCAAGTCTATAGGAGTTTGGTCACTAGTAGATCATACAGCCATCACTCTATGGCTCTAGAACTGATATTGCTCTAGGGGGAAAATGGTAGAGTTGAGTGTTCTCCACTTGGGAGGCATCCTCCCAGCACTTGGGAGGCAGAGGCAGGAAAATTATGAATTTGAAGAGAGCCTCGGCTATAGAGAAACTTGGAGGTTAGCTTGGACTACACAAACTTTCTCCAATCTTGGGCTATCTCAGACAAAAAGAAAGTAAAAAGGAAGAGGAAAGGGAGGGTGGGAAGCAGAAAGAGGAAGACAGGGAGCTTCAGGGTTGACAGAGTGTCTGGTGTGTAAATGCATGAACGATTAGTGAAACTCATGCCTGGGACAACTGAACAGCATCCTTGCTATGCTTCTTCCCTTCTCCAATGGAAATTTCCCCAGACTGGAGGTTTGAACAAGAAAGGCCCCCATAGGCTCATGTGTTTGGATACTTGGTTCCCAATTGGTGGAACTGTTCAGGAAGGAGGTGTGGCCTTGTTAAAGGCAGTGTGTCATTGGGGGTAGGCTTTGGGTTTAAAAACGCCAGGCCATTCCAATTAGTCTGCTCTGCCTTGTGCTTGTAGATCAAGATGTAAGCTTCCAGCTTCTACTCCCATGCCACACCTTCCTGCCTGCTGCCCTGCTCCCAGTGTACCATGAGGTCATAGACGCTATTCTGGAACCGTGAGCCCCAAATTAAACACTTTCTTTTATAAGTTGTGTTGGTCATAGTGTCTTATTACAGCAATAGAAAAGTATCCAAGACAGAAATTTAACATCACCCTGGATGTGTTCCTTTCCTTATCTAACATACATTTTTCTCAGATTAGGAACCTATTTTGTGTGCTGGATGCCAAGTTCAACAACAATTTTTCCTGGGAATGGCAGTATAACTCAGTGGTAGAATATGTTGGAGGCCCTGGCTTCATCATCAACACCAAAAACAATAAGTAAATAAACAACTGGCCTCTGCCTTCAGGAAACTACAGTTTTGGCAATGGTTGGTTGTGATGACAATACCAGTCATATAGTCTATGACTTGTGTGTTCAAAAAAAAAAAAAAAGCATCATTTTCCACCCACTGTTAGGAACTAGTGTTCTGTCTTTGCAGGACATTGATTAATTAATCTGCTCACCGTTTCATTCCTTCTTGGTCTTGCCAATATTCCTGTACTTTACAGGTCCACAGGTTTTAGTAACTCTCAGATAAAAGCCTGACAGAATCTCCTAGATCCCAAGCCCCTCTCACTGCCCCACCCAGTCACCTGGGAACCAGGCCTCTTGCCCCTCTCCTCTGAATCACGATGCACATACCTGAAGTTCTGAGAGCTGAGTTCTGTAAGCCTCTTGTCAGAAAGAAGGAAACTACATTGGGAAGGCTGACTGAGGGCTGGAAACAGGTGGCCTTCTGAAGGACGATGTCATCCTCTACAGAGGCCAACCCTGTGGCTAGGCTATCATGTAGGCTCAGAGGCCTCAAGTGGCCATCCGAGCATCTTTCCTCTGGACAGAGCTGCAGAAACAGAGAAAACAATCTGTGCTTTTGCTTCTGGAGTTTTGGGCTCTGCCTTGTTTCTTCTTTCCACACTAATTAGTATCTGTCTGCCTTTCTTTTCCTTTTAGTGCTTGGGCCAAGGCCTATTGCACAACTACTCACTTGAGTAGAGGTTTCTCTGAATTCTCTGAAATTATCATTAGCATACCCAATGATCTGACTTGCTCTCTTGAACTTCTGCTTGTGGACTTTTATACGTCATGACAAATATGGGCTGGTCACAAGACATTTATTGTGTCGTGAATATTTCACACATCTGTGATGTTGGCAATGCTGAGGGCGGGGGAAATGGTAGGAAGAAAGGTTATGGATGCAATCCTTTTATGGAGCGGAAATCCACTTGACTCTGGCCTTTAAAGCTTTTATGAATGAGGGAAACCACAAGTAAACAAACACATTCTACATTGGATATGAAATACACTAGGTTGGTTTAGATTTTCCCTCTTTTTCATAATCAGAAGCTACAGAGAGAAAAACTCATAGAACTGCAAGAATTCAAAAACAGATACTAATCATGCTATGATGGAGGAAGGGAGATTTAGGCTCTAGAATGAAGGTAGGAGATGAAGAGAGA